GGATGGGTGTAGGTGAAGGAAGGAGGTGGAGGTTGAAGGTGCATGGCTATGGTGGATGGGTGTAGGTGAAGGAGGGAGGTGGAGGTTGAAGGTGCACGGCTATGGTGGAAGGATGTAGGTGGACGAGGAGGATGGAGGCTGAGGGTGCCTGGCTATGGTGGACAAGTGTAGGTGAAGAAGGGGAGACGGAGGTTGAAGGTGCGCGGCTATAGTGGATGGGTGTAGATGAAGGAGGGGGGTGGAGGTTGAAGGTGCATGGCTACGGTGGACGGATGTAGGTGAAGGAGGGGGACGGAGGTTGAAGGTGCTTGGCTATGGTGGTTTGCTTGCCCCGTGGTCCGCGACCGGTCCTATTCTACCGCCCAACTCCCTACCCCTCTGGCCTCTTTCGTAGGTCGCTGGTTTTCGGCTTCGCGGACCCCCTTGCAACAATGAAGGCGTTCGTTTAGGAATCGTAGATTCTCCAAGACAGGAAGCAACAAGAAGTGGTTTGCCGACATTCACTCAAGCATTTAGAGCAGCAGAACGGTAGTGCGAACAACACCCTATCCCGGGGATTGACCGACGAAGCACCACCGGGTGAACAACATCCCGCCCATGCACGTAAAACCGCAAACTGACAATGTGAACGGCACCCCACCCATGCATATGAAACAACAAACTGACAGTATGAAAAGCATCCCACCCGTGCACACGAAAAACAGCAAACTGACAGTGTGAACAGTCCCCCACCCGTGCACATGAAACAGCAAACTGACAATGTGAACAACACACCACTCAAACTGACAATGGGAACAGCACCCCACTCATGCACATGTAACAGCAAACTGATAGTGTGAACAACACCCCACCCGTGCACATGAAACAACAAACTGACAATGTGAACAGCACCCCGCCCATGCCTATGAAACAGCAAACTGTCAGTGTGAACAACACCCCACCCGTGCACATGAAACAGCGAACTAACAGTATCAACAGCACCCACCCGTGCACATGAAACAGCAAACTGACAATGTGAACAGCACCCCACCCGTGCACATGAAACAGCAAACTCACAATGTGAACAGCACCCCGCCCAAGCCTATGAAACAGCAAACTGTCAGTGTGAACAGCACCCCACCCGTGCACATGAAACAACAAACTAACAGTATGAACAACACCCACCCGTGCACATGAAACAGAAACTGACAATGTGAACAGCACGCCACCCGTGCACATGAAACAGCAAACTGACAATGTGAACAGCACCCCGCCCATGCCTATGAAACAGCAAACTGTCAGTGTGAACAACACCCCACCATCGCTTACCAAGGATGGCACAAGGACAAGATTTGACGCATCCCAGGAAAGGAGTACATAACCGAAGTATCCCGAAGTGCAGCGCCACTCATACATTCGCCAAGATCAGTGAAAACTCCAGATTGAAAGCATTTATCCTATTGGAAAGTTCACGGAAGTAATCCGAGGTAATTCCCAACTCATACACTCATCAAGATCAGTGAAATATCAAGTTTGAAAGCATCTAATCTACCGGAAAGCTCACGGAGGTAGCCCAAGGTAATTTGCAACGCATACCTTCATCAAAATCAGTGAAAACTCAAAGTTGAGAGCCTCTAATCAAGGGGAAACATCACGGAAGTAACCCAAGGTAAATCGCAACTCATACATTCATTGAGATCAGTGAAAACTCAAGGTTGAAAGCATCTAATCAAGGGGAAACAACACGGAAGTAACCCAAGGTAATTCGCAACATGTACAAGCACTCACAATAGTGAAAACTCAAGATTGGGCGCATCTACCCAAGGGGAAACTTCACGGAAGTGTCACACGATGAATCGCAACATGTACAAGCACTCACATAGTGAAAACTCAAAGTTTGAAGCATCTACCCAAAGGGAAACTTCACGGAAGTGTCACAAGATGAATCGCAACATGTACAAGCACCCAAATCAGTG